TCAGTGACATAATAGAACACTTGCCTGGAATACAAGAGGTTTGGGGTCATGCAAATCAAAACAACTCTGAGATACCATCTAATACCTGGATGAATAGCTAAGATCAAAAACACCAATGATAGCTTATGCTGAAGAGAATGTGGAGTAAGGGGAACACTCATCCATTGCTGGTGGGAATGCAAACTTGTGCAACCACTTTGGAAATCAGTATGGTGGTTTTTCAGAAAATTGGGAATAAACCTACCTCAGGATCCAGCAATACCACTTTTGGGCATATACCCAAAAGATGCTCAATCATACTACAAGGACATTTGTTCAATTATGTTCATAGCAGCATTATTTGTCATAGCCAGAACCTGGAAAAAACCTAGATGCCCCTCACCGAAGAATGGATAAAGAAAATGTTTCACATTTACACATTAGAGTACTACTCAGTGGTTAAAAACAATGACATCTTAAATTTCGCATGCAAATGATAGAATTAGTAAGCTCTTTCCTGAATGTGGTAACCCAGACCCCAGAAACAACCTAGATGCCCCTCAACTGAAGAATGGATAAAGAAAGTGTGGCACATTTACAAATTAGAGTACTACTCAGCGTGGAAAAAAACAATGACATCTTGAATTTCGCATGCAAATGGATGGAATTAGAAAACACTATTCTGAGTGAGGTGACCCAGACCCAAAAAGATGAATATGGTATGTACTCACTCATAAGTGGATACTAGCTATAAACAAAGGATATTGAGCCTATAGTTCATGATCCTAGAGAAGCTAAGTAATAAAGTGAAATATATATATATATATCCACCTGGAATGTGGAAACAGACAAGATCGACTGAAAAAATTGGGAATGGAGTATGGAGGTGGGGGAAAAGAGAGGATTTTAGGGGAAGAAGTGCAGAGAAGGGGAGGGGTGAGGAGAACTTGAGGGAATGGGATAGTGGAGAAAAAGGATGGACAGAGATGAGAGCAAGGAAAGAGATATTTTGATTGAGGGAGCCATTATAGGGCTAGCAAGACACTTGGCTCTAGAGAAATTCCCAGGAATCCACAAGGATGACCCCAGCTAAGACCCTAAGCAATAGAGGAGATGGGGCCCAAACTGGCCTTGTCCTGTAGTCAGACTGATAAATATCTCAAATATCACCATAGAACCTTCATCCAGCAACTGATTGAAACAGAGGCAGAGATCTGCAGTGGAGCACTGGACTGAGTTCCCAAAGACCAGTTAAAGAGTAGGAGGAATGAGAATATGAGTAAGGAGGTTAAGACCATGATGGGTTCACCCACTGAAACAGTTTACCTAAGCTAATGGGAGCTCACCAACTCTAGCCGGACTGGGAAGGAACAAGCATAGGATGAAACTAGTCCCTCTGAATGTGGTTGACAGTCGCATGGCTGGGGCAGACTGGGGAGCCACTCGCAGTGGTACCAGTATGTATTCCTACTGCATATACTGGCTTTTTGGGAACCTATTCTCTTTAGATGATACCTTGCTCAGTCTAGATATAGTAGGAGGGTCCTGGGACCTTCCCCCAAAGCAATGAGCCTTACACTCTCTTAGGATTGGATGGGTATTGGGTGGGAGGGTATGTAGAGGGAATGGGAGGAGGGAAGGGATGGGAACTTGGATTGGTATGTATAAGGAAAAAAGATAGTTTGTTTTCTTTTTTAAAAAAATAAAAACCTAAACCTTTCAAAAGAAAATGATTGCAGCTGCGTATTCAGCTCAGTGATATAATAGGACACTTGCCTGGAATACATGAGGCTTTAGGTCCAATCCCTAGTTCTAAATAAATAAACAAATAAACAAATAAATATTGTGGCTGTCTTGATGGCAAGAGTGTTTGATTGGCAGATGTCAAACCCATCCAACACAGCCTCAGTGGCAGTAGACAGGAACAGACCCCAACAACTGTCAGGTGGGGTGAGCTGGTGGAGAGTTGTAAACACTACTCCAGCAGCCCCTGAAGATCCTGCAGCAGCTCCAACTTCAGCACCACCATGTTGGGGAGTATTAGTTTAAGAGTTGTTGCTTTTGTTTGTAAGCCATTTGTTTAACTCTGTGAAGCTGTGATTCTTTCCCTGTCTAAAACACCTGATGGTTTAATAAAGAGCTGAATGGCCAATGACAAGGCAGGAGCAAGGATAGGTGGGGCTAGGCAAAGAGTATAAATAGAAGGAAAAAATGAGGACCAAGGAGAGAAAGACACTGGGGGCCAGCCACCCATCCATCCAGCCACCCATCCATCCAGCCACCCATCTATCCAGCCACCCATCCATCCAGCCACCCATCCACCCACCCATCCAGCCACCCATCCAGCTACCCAGCCACCCACTCGTCCAGCCACCCATCCAGCCGCCCATCCAGCCACCCGTCCAGTTATCCATCCAGCCGCCCATCCACCCACAGAGTAAGAGTGAAAGTAAGATACACAGAAGTAAAAAAAGGAAAAAGCCCAGAGGCAACAGGCAGTCAGAATAATTTTTAAAAATCTGACAACAAATAAGCCAAGCTTGGCATTCATAACAAAAAAAATAAGCCCCCTTGTTTGATTTAATTGGGAGATGGATCATGGGGCCCCCCAAAAAGCCAAAAGAGCAAAAATATTGCACTACATCACCATTGCCAGACAGAGTGGGGCAGCCTACTTAGGTTGGCCTTTAGATGACCCCACCCAGGAACATCATATCCCTCCCTGCTCGGGAGGAGCACCTTTCCGAGCCACAGGGTCCCTGGAGCAGCCCTGACACAGCAGAGTCTCCCAGGCTAAAGCTGCAGCTGTCTGTGGTGACAGAGGTACAATTTCTAGGCTGTAATGAAGTCTTCTCTGGGCATCCGAACCTCAGCAGAAGTTCCCACGGACTACCCAAGACCGGATTGGAGGTTTCTGAACATCTGTGAGATATGCCGTCAGGACAGGTGTGTACTGACAGGACAGGACAGCAGGAAGTGAGAGCTGTTTGAGTGGCAGCTGCCTTACCTTTTCATTTCACGAGGTCCCATCTGTCGGGAATGTATTTCCTGAGCAATTGAAGCGCTCAAAGAGCATAGCCCTGTGCCTACATCACTGCACAATTTCCCTTTCCTCTAGCATTTTCAGTTTCAGTTCTTCTGTTAAGGTCTTTGGTCCATTTAGAGTTGAATTTTCTGCAAGGTCAGGGTTTATTCTCATTCTTCTACATCTGAACTCAGGATTTACTTAGCAACCCACATAAGCCATTACAATTAAGTAAATAAGTCTAAGGCTGTCTAGAAATATATCCAATCAAATTGCTTCCTGGAAAAAGATATAAAAGCATAGAAACCTGGAACTGTTGTCTCTCCATACAATGGAATATTATGTGAGGACAATACATCCAAACAGAACAGGAACCAGGTACAGGTACAGGTTTTAAGGGTGGTGAGAATGTCTAATAACTAGATAGAGTGGCCATCCAGCACTGTAAATAACAGTGGAATTGCTCACTTTATATCGCTTATTTTTATGTTGTGTGAAATTTTACTTAAAAATTTCTGTGTTCCTGTGTACCTGTGCATGCTTTGGTAGGCCAAAGGTCAGCTGTGGAGGGCATTTCTCAGAAGCTGCTCACCTTGTGTCACCCTCATCCTTGTGACCCTGCCATCCCCTCTGCCATTCCTAGTGCCGGGGCAGAAAGGTAAGAATTATTTTTAAATAATTCAGTAGTGGACATCTTGATTAGGTTTTTGTTTGTTACTTGCTTTTAAAAGATTTCTGGTTATTTTTGTTTTGTTTTTCCAAGACAGAGTCTCACTGTGTAGCTCTGGTTGTTCAGGAACTTACAGGCAGACCAGGCTGGCCTTGAACTCACAGAGATCAGCCTGATCCTTCCTCCTGAGTCCTGAGATTACAGGCGAAGACCACTATGCCTGTCAGCTTTTTAAACTTTTTAAAGATTTATTATTTTGAATTATTCGTATGTCTGTGCTTGTAGGAGGGTATGTACATGTGGGTGCAGGAGAGTAGGCTCAGCTGGAGGCTAGAGGTGTTGTTGCAGCTCCTGGACACAAATGGTTTTGAGCTGCAAATACAACTCAAATCCTCTAGAATAAAGCAGCAAACGCTTAACCACTGAGATGTCTCTCCAGGCCTCTTGCATTTTTGTTTCTTGTCTGGGCTTTATTATTATTATTATTATTATTATTATTATTATTATTATTATTATTATTATTATTATTTCTTTTTGTTTTGTTTGTCCATCTTGTTATTTTGAGGCAGGGTCTTTCATTGTTCTGGAAATTACCACCTAGGCTAGGCTAAGTGGCCCGGGAGTTCCAGGGCCCCTCCTGCCCTCCCTCCACCTCCCCTGCACAGGGATTCTAACAACTCACTACCACATCCGGTTTTTTCACATGGGTTCTCATGCTTCTGTGGTAAGCACTATTTCCACTGAGCTAACTCCCATCCTCAAGAAAAAAAAAATTAATTAAAAAGTTTTCTAGTTCATGCTGACACATGCTGGCTGAGTCAGTGTGAGATTAGACCAAGGAGAGTAGGAAAAATCCTAGCGGTGAGGTCAGAGAAAGCCAAGGTAGGTCCTGCTCTGGATGAGAATTTCAAGGCATATCCACCTCCCAAGTCCAGCTTCCCAGCACCCCACGGACGGATCCGAAGAGGTAGGACTTTCCAGCCAGTGTGAGGCCTGACCTTAAGCCCTCCACACCGCGACCGAGCGGGCGGAGGACCGCTGGAGTCCCAGACTTCCTGCACCCCAATCTTACCCGCAACCAACCAAGTGATGTAGTTAACAGTCTGGGGTACGAGTCAGGACATTGCGCACGCGCCAGGACTCGTCACTGAACTACGACTCCCGGGAAGCACTGCGACTGTATAGATCACGTAGCCAATAAACAATTAAAAATGTTACAGGGACCCAATCACGTAGGGGAAAGGGGAAGCCAAGGTTGCTCTTTCAGCCAGTGGGTGTCTCCGTGGCCCAGCTCCGGCCCCGCCCCCAGCCCATGTTCTTGGGGGGGTCCTGGTCTCCAGGCTCCGGACGGATGGGTCGCCCGCTGAAGGGTTCTGAGCTGCTCAGCTCGCCGCAGGTGGATACTGGAGCTGACACCCAGCACCGCGGTGGATCTGCACGCCCCCTTGCTGCAGCAGCGCCTGGCTGAGCTGCTGGAGCTGCACTCGCTACCCTTGGCGGGCTGTGGCCTCGCCTAGCTCTGCGCTTTTGCTCTTAGATGTACTGGAGGTTGGAGTCTGCAGGATGCTGAAGAGTTGGTGTGAGCTATGCGCATGACAGCTTGAACTTTCTTGGGGATTCCTCTACCAGCCCGTTAGATCGTGTCATGCATGTCACCAGATAACAAAATTAAATATTCCCTCCAGTGCCCTTTTGGAATATTTTGACTTCTCTCCTTAAAAACTGACGAAAAGACCAACTCCTCCCACTGTCAGGAACTATCTTGTCTTCAGAGTCTGGGATAAGGGCTTGCAAATGAGAAAGCTATCTATGTCTCTGCGGTCCTTCCACCCCTAATGCTCCCAGAGGAGCTTCGTTCCTACCGTTTTTCTAGCCTTCAGAGAGATTTCTCCAGAGCAATGACCCAGAAGACTTGATTAGAGTGACGTTGTTTCCTGGGCCCCCAAAATGGCAGCTAAAATGGAGAAAACTTTGAGTACCTACACTGAGGATTCTGACAGGCAAGAGAGACACATCATAATGAAGCTGGAGGAGAAACGTGGGCCCGCTCAGCAAAAAGCTGGCCCCGATCCTGAGCTTTCCCGCCAGAGCTTCAGACACTTTTGTTATCAGGAGGTGTCTGGACCCCAGGAAGCGCTCTCCCGCCTTCGACAGCTCTGCAGACAGTGGCTGCAGCCTGACCTACACACTAAGGAGCAGATTTTGGAGCTCCTCGTGATGGAGCAGTTTCTGGTCATCCTTCCTCCAGAGATCCAGGCGCAGGTCAGGCATCGATATCCAATGAGCGGCAAGGAGATTGTGACGCTGGTGGAAGATTTGCACAGAGCGTCCAAAAAACCAAAGCAGTGGGTAAGGAGGGTCCTTTTTCTGTGTGTCCCAGGATCTCTCTGTCTTTTGGGGTAGTGTTTTGTCTCATGATCCCAGCTAGTTAGAGATTCCAGAGGAATGGATGGCTTCAAAGTCGCACCCAGCCTCCAGGAACTCCCATTCCCCCTAAAAACGTTGTAACAGGGTTTCAGTAAACCCAGCCACTGGCACCCAGTGAGGAGGTAGAAGACTAAGATATTCCTTCATAGACTTCATGACCTTAGGAGAGGAGTTTTAAGATTTTGGTGAAGTTTTACTACAATCAGAATTCTTGTCTGACAGGTCTAGTCTGTTCAATAGGGAACTAATTTGGGGTGAAGTTCCGTGGACTTTGTTCCAGTGAAGGGTCTACCATATTGCCTTTGAATGGGGAAGTCTCAGCTCAGTTCCGTGGTGTTGCTGCCCGACCCCATCCCCATCCCCAAAGCCAGCCCCCCAAAGCTGGAGCCTCTGAAGGAAGCAAGTCAGATGTGCTTTGGAAAATGGCACTGTGAGGGAACAGGTGAGTTTGTCTTCTTAGATCCGAGTACCTTGGACCTCTTTAGCAGAGAAACCTACCAGGTTGGAATGTTTTCCAGTGGCCCCTTATGGTATTGTTTTCTGTTCCCAGGGGTACAGAGGGGAAGCAGAAGTAGAGAGGGTTGGGATATGGAGCGGGAACAGTGGTGGTGACGGCACTGTTATCCCTGAGTCTGACATTTTCACCAACTCCTTCGGAGGAGCTTGGCTGTGAATCAGCCCCTTTTCCTTTCATGTATCTCCTTTGAAGGTCTTGGTGGTATCCGTAAAATTTGAACTCCAAGCCAGGCGGTGGTGGCGCACGCCTTTAATCCCAGCACTCGGGAGGCAGAGGCAGGCGGAACCCTGTGAGTTCGAGGCCAGCCTGGTCTACAAGAGCTAGTTCCAGGACAGGAACCAAAAGCTACGGAGAAACCCTGTCTCGAAAAATCAAAAAAAAAAAATTTGAATCCAGGTTGTAAAGGGATCACGCTATAGCAGTGAGCGGCATGCTCCCCCGACAGTCCATCAAGGAATGGAGAATTAATGGCTAGCCCTTTTCCTAGGTGGCTGTTTGTCTGCAAGGGCAGAAGGTGCTCCTGGAGAGAACAGCAGCTCAGCCTGGAGAACAAGAACTTCCAGACTTTGGGCCCCAAACTCATAGCAGAGATATTCAAGAGAACTCCCTGGAAGAGCCTTCCTGGGAAGGGTCTCAGGCCCAGCTGAGTCCCCATCACTGGGAGAAATATCCCTTCTACCAGGAACCAGTTCCCAAACTGACTGAGACAGGTAAACACTCTATACTTGGGCCCGCTCATCAGCTCTGTTTCCATCATAGCATCTCATGGTTCTGCAAACGTGTGTTGCACGTGACCACCTTTTAAAAGTTTACTGTGTGTGTATGTGGGGGGGGGGGGTCTGTCCACAGTGTACATGTGGAGGTCAAAGGACAACTCTATGGAGTTATTTCTTACCTTCTACCCTCATTTGGGTTGTGGAGATCAAACTCTGGTCTCTGGGCTTGAGAAATAAGTGCCTTTATTTACCAAGTCATTTTCCTGGCCAGTGCACACCTTTTAAAATTTTAGAGACAGGATCTCACTATGCAGCCCAGCCTGGTCTGGGACTCAGTATGTAGACCAGGCTAGCCTTGAACTCACAAATATCCATCTGCCTCTGTGTCCCAAATGCTGGGATTAAAGGCCTGCATGGCTATGCCCAGCCTGTTTGGTTTTTTTGCTTGTTTGTTTTTGGAGAGCTACTGGATTAGTCTGCAAAGTGGTTGCACCATTAGAGGCTTCTATCAACAAAGCGTGAGGGTGCTCTCCACATCCTGGCTAGCACTTATTCCCAACAGCTTTTATTATGATGATGTAATAGCCCCTGAGACTTCGATTGTCATTTCCTTAATGAGTTATGATATTTAAGCATTATTTCATATGTTTATTAAATTATATATCTTGGCCAATAGATGGCTTGGTAGGTAAAGGCACTTGCTACCAGGCTTGACAACCTGAATTCAATCCCTGGGGTATACATAATAGAGGGAGAGATATTTCTACAAGCTGTCCTCTGACCACTACACATGCTTTGTCATACAAACAGCCACCCCCTAACACACATACAATAAACATAATTAGACGTTTTAAAAAGGAAATTGCATATCTTGTCTTTTGTTGGTTATCAGGTATCTTGTAGCCTAGGCTGGCTTCAAAGCCACTACTTAACTGAAGCTGAACTTGAACTCCTGATTCTGCGGTATCCACCTCCTAAATCCTGTGAAGACAGGCCTTTGCCTTCACTCCCAGCTTATGGGAAAATTGTAGCCCTATACTTGACCCATTTTTCATTTGAGCTACTTGTCTTTTTATTGTTGAGCTTTAAGTGTTAAAATAACTGTTCTGGATCCTAGACCTTGAAGACGATGAGAATTCATGAATGTTTTCCTTCTCGTTCCGTGAATTATCCTTTCAGTTTCTGATGGTGTTCCATGAAGCACAAATGCTTTTGAAAGATGTTATGAATTTTTATATATTTCGTGTGCATCTGTGCACATGTGGAAGACAGAAGAAACTTTGGGGACTGACATCTCTCCTTCCACTGTGTGGGTCCCAGGGGTCACACTCGGGTCAGGCTTGGCCAGAGCTGCCTTCACCCAGCCATCTCACCAGCCCAAATGTTTTTCATGTTGATAGTCTAATCTTTTTCTTTGCTTGGGCTTTTGGTGTCATGGTAAAATACCATTGGCAATCGAATGATTCAGATTTGCAGGTATGCTCTCTCTAAAGAGTTAAGTTTAGTTCTTCTGTGTTTATATCTTTGGTTCATTGTGAGGTAGTTTTTTGTATGTGACATTTCATATGTGTTATTAAGGTTACTATAACAGAGTCCTTAGGCTGGGCAATAAATAACAAATTTATTGCTAACACTTTTAAAAATTAAGTACTCAGCTGGGGAGTTGACATAGTGGATAAGAGTGTTCGCTGAGTTTCAATCCACAGAACTCCCCCCAACATGAAAAATAAGGCCTATTTGTCTGCTCCTGTAATGCCGGTGCTTTGGGGGTGGGAGGAGACAGGAGAGTCAGTGAGAGACCCTGTCTCAAGAGAATAAGGCAGAGAGTGATAGAACAGGACGATTGTCATCTGCTTTCTTCACTTGTGCTTTATAGACACACACACACCTGCACCACACTCACACTTTAACACACACACAGACACCTGAACCACACTCACACTCTAACACACACACACACACCTGCAACACACTCACACTTTAACACTCACACACACACCTGCACCACACTCATACTCTAACACACACACACACACACACACCTGCACCATACTCACACACGCTAACCCCCTTGAATTACTGGATTACTAAAAAATGACTCCTTTCCCATCTAATGTTTTTAAGAACCTCAATGAAGCCAGGCATGGTGATGCATGCCTGTAATCACAGCACTTGGGAGGTAGAGGCAGAAGATCAGGAACTTAATATCATCTTCAGTTACCTAGTGAATTTGAGACCAGCTTGGGCTATGTGAGACCCTGTCTCAAAAAATGAGCAAAACAATCCCTTGATGAAAATCATTTGGCAATAACTATTTGAGCTCCTCATTAAATTTAAATGAATTAAAATTCAAAATTCAGTTCGGCAATGCAAAATTCTAATTGGTATTAATATAAAAATCCGGAGTCAGATATAGGGGTTAATGCTGAAAGACCAGAGACAAAGGAGCAAACCATAGCCACTTCCTACCTCGCAAAATCCTCAGCCTGAAGAGAGGCAGGCTCCCATCTCTGCCTGCCTTACATTCCTCTCTCCGCCCAGCCATGTATTACTTTCTGTTTCCTCCTCCCAAGTGCTGGGATTAAAGGTGTGCACCACCACTGTCTTGCCTCCAAGTTAACTCTAGTGGCTGGCTCCGCCTTCTGATCTTCAGGCAAGCTTCATTTGTTAGATCACAAATATCACCACACCACCTCAACCACCTTAGCTCTGTTTCAAACACTCAACAATCACATCTGCCTGGCAGTGCCATGTTGAATGGTGTATGTAGCATGAAAACACATTTCCCATTTCGAGGTCCTGCTGGAAAGTGCTGTTGCTGATTCTCCAGTTTCCCTGGTCCATTCTAGTTCACAGCCGTCTTGATCCTCAGTTCTCCCAGAAGGTGGACAGCGTCTCTAATTAGGCCTCATACCTACTATATAGTTCAGTCTCTGTACACCTAGATATCAACACTGTAATGAGAAACACACAGCAGTCACTGGCTTTATTATTCTTTTGAAGTGAGGGAGGTTGTCAATCTTAGTCCCTGTAAGGGAGGGAAATTTATTCAGATAATCTTTAAGTACTGGAATTTTACCCTTTAGCCAGGTACAGCTGTACATGTCTGTGGTCCCAGAAACTTGGAGGATCACTTAGGCCCTAGAGTTTGAAGCCAACCTAGACAATACAATAGACCCGGTCAGTAGTAAATGGTCACTGTCTTCTTTGTTGTTGATATTTCATTCTAATGTCTTTCATTTTTTGTTTGTATTTTTCCTTGCTATTTCTGTTTTCCTATACCTTTCTCCCCCAAAATAGGAAGGACAGAGGAGAATTTGGTTCCTAACTTTACTGTAGATTAGGGGCACTCTCAGGAACTAGTTAACGGTACAGACTTCCAGGCCTAACCTTCAGATTCTGACTCACCAATGTCAGGGGTGAGGAACCTTTTTATGGTTCAGAGGAGTCTGATGGCTTGTACATTACCTGCAGAAGGCGGCCTACCCTGACAACCCCCCCCCCCCCCCGCCGCCAACAAACTTCATACTTCTTTTGCTGAAGCTCTTTCTTCTAAGCACAGAAAATGAAGCACATTATTTTTTATTGTAGAGGCCTCCAAGACGAGAAGAGACAAGGAAAACCCACAACAGGAAGGGGCAAAAGGAGCAGAGACACATGCGGTGTCACCCGCGAGTTCCAAAGTGGGTAGTCTGCACGGCCCTGAGCCAAGACGGGTGAGCACGAGTGAACCCCGATTGTCACAGAGGCAGGCCAGACCCCCAAATGCTCAGAAGGCATTTGCTCACTACCAGAGGCATTGCAGAGAACTGGACTATATCAGCAACCCCCTCAGAGGCTACCCACTGAGAGAGTTAAAGAAAAGCAAAAGAGGCAGAAGAGGCCTGAGCAGCCTTCTGCAGTGTCTTAGCCACCAGGCGGCCCACGCGGCAAAGAAACCTTACAAATGCGATGACTGTGGGAAGAGCTTCACGTGGAATTCAGAGCTGAAGCGACATAAGCGAGTACACACAGGAGAGAGACCCTACGTCTGTGGGGAGTGCGGAAACCGCTTTGGGAGGCAGTCAACTCTGAAACTGCACCAGAGAATCCACACTGGGGAGAAACCATACCAGTGCAGCCAGTGTGGGAAAAGCTTTCGCCAAAGCTCAAATCTCCATCAGCACCACAGGCTCCACCATGGGGACTAAACAGGTGCTGGGTACTTTAGAGGCCCAGGGAAGGGTGGACCTGTCTCTCCTTTTCCTTACTTGCAGGTAAATCACAGAGCAAGGCGCCCTTGGGGAGTGATGGAGCCTGTCTGCAAAGCCACCTGATCTGGGTGTTGGGGAAGGAGAACTGTATTCTCGGCAGAGTGGGGACTAGTTACTGAGAATAGTTAGGCTGAGCAACAAGCGGTTTTAATTAATAATTGGTCCTTAATTAAATTCTTCTTGTTGCTTTGTCTTACAAAATACAGTTCTCATGTGTACTCTTGAGCAGTTCACTAGAATTTCAAGAAAACGCTCACTAGTAGTCTTTCTGCGACTAACCTTTTTGTTGTTGGTGGTGGTTTTTCATTACTTTTTATTTATTTTTGAGGCATGGTTTCTCTGCCCTGACTGTCCTGGAACTCACTCTTTTGGCCAGGCTGGCCTCAAACTCAAGAGATCTGCCTGCCTCTGCCTCCCAACTGCTTAGATTAAAGGCGTGCGCCACCAAGTGGTAGATAGCACCTTAAAAAGTTGTATTTGAGGGATCCTTTTTATAGCAAACTTTTAATTTACTTCAGTCCAAGATACAAGGAAAAGCTCCAGGGAGAAGTAAATACTGTTCTGGTAGACAGGGGAATTCTGCCTGTTCTTTCTCAAGTAAGACATTAGCTTTAAGACTGTGACTGGCATTTTCAGTGTTTACACTTGGATTATGGTGATGGCTACACAACTCAGTGACTCCAGGAAGATTACTGAAATAGGTGAATGTATGATAAGTACTTGCAGTGACTCCAGGAAGATTACTGAAATAGGTTAATTTATGATAAGTACTTGCACAACATTTTTTAAATGACAGAATACTTTATTTATATAGTGTTAGTGTTTCAAAACTGGGTCGGGAACACCATCCTGTGCCAAACTCTTGTTTCCTCAAAGTAGACAGTAGAACCCAGTCAGTATCACTCTAGGTGAAGCATGCTCTTCCTCGGTCAGGCAGACAGGATGCATACTTTGTACAAACAGTAGGAGGTGGCCGTCCTCCTGAAGGCAGCAATACCAAGTCACTGCCTTTATCTTCAGTATTCAGCCTGTCCTTACTTCTTCCCCAGCCTGCATACGAGTACTGGCTGGAACCTATAGTTCTCCCCACCAAGCACACATACCCTTCCCTCAAGGGCAGCTTCACTGTTGTCTCTGGGTAATTTCTGAGTCTCGGTCATGTCTGTATCCGTCCTATAGCTGCTGTAACAAATGACCGCGAGCTTGGTGGCTTAACACAAAATTTCTCTTGTGCGACTGGAAGCTAAAGTCTGGAATCAGCTTCACTTGGCCAGAATCACCTTGGGCAGGGCTTTCTTTCCTTCTGGAAACCCTGAGAGGTGGATCAGCTTCCTTGACTTTTTCAGCTTCTAGCAGCCTCCGACATTCTTGGACTCATGGCCCCTTCATCCTCAAAGTACATTTTTATGACTCTCCCTCTTGCCTAACCTTGTCTGACTCTGGCCCTCCTGGATCTCTCTTAGAAGGATGCTTATATTTGGCCTAGGAGGATAATTTCCCCATCTCAAGATCCTTAATAACACCCACCAAATGTTCCTTTTGCCATTTAAGGTGACATTCGCTGGTTCAGGGATTAGGATATGAATGTATGTGGAAGACCATCATACCATGTCTTTGTATCTTGGGTCAACTTGGTCACCCAAAGGGGTGAGAAGGAACTTAGAGTTGTTTACAAGGGTCGGCATAGGAGACTTCCTAGAGTTTTGCGTCTTGGGGTATTTTATAGAGCTAGTATGTTTCCTCTCTTCAGATTACACATCAGTGCTTGTTTAGTGTCTTTGGGTACCTGTTTGACTGTAGACAAACTCGCAGTCAACATCATTCTTTTCCAAAGGGTGTCGAGACCATGACACCAATTGCCTCCCTGCCTCTAGCCCAGTTTCCCTTTGCATAGGGCTCACGTCAGACAACTGATGGCAGTAAGTCTGGGCTCAGATGTGGGGTCCCCTTGTCTCCTTTGCCTGTGCACCTTCACCAGAGCCTCAAGTCTTGACCGACTTTCCTTGCAGCCAGCTTCCTTTTGCAGGACCCCAAAATAAGAAAATAGCGTTTCTCCCCTCACATGCACCGCTTGTTCCTAGGCATGCCGTTGGTTCTGCCCAACACATGCAGGTGTCAGGTTCGGGGTGACTCCTGCTTCCAGTGTTTGACCCCTGAGTGACCCCCAGGTTGACCCATGGAGAAAGGAAGCACTGGCAGACAGTGGAGGTCTGCACATCTGAAGAGCATTTTCCCATCCACAGCGGATAAGGTGCAAACCAATCTCACAATACAACTGTCCCTCTCAACAACACTGGCAATGACTCCTCACAGAATAGACTAAATATTTCCCTCTAACTCTTCCTGAAATTGAAATGCTTCCTTCTTATTGCGTCACTGAAGCACTGAACATACCAGAAAACTTGTGCGTTTGTAGCACACAGCGCAGTGGGACAGTATAGTATTCACCGCTGTGCAAGTGTCACCGCGAGCTCATGTTAGGGCACTGTCAGTATCACAGCGTTAGCAGTCACTCCCTGGTGCCCTCACTCCTGTGCCTGTGGATCCTGTCCATACACACTATCACATGTCAGCACTTTATTCCTTTTATTTCCTAGGAGCCTTGCATTACATGAAGGGGCATTCAGCTCAGCCAGACTGATGGACATTGTGGAACTCCACTTTGGCTGATGTGAGCAGAATAATGCTGCTGTGAACATTGATATGTTTTTAATTCCTCTAGGGTACATGCCTAAAGGTTGATTTGCTAGGTCATGTGATAATCCTGTTTAACTTTTCTAGGAAACAATCAAATGGTTTCCAAAGTGGATGCATATTTTACATTTCAACCAGCAGTGTATAAGGGTTCCAGTTTCTCCACTCCTTCAACATGATTTATTACTGCCTTTTGTTAGTTTGTTTTGAGATAGGGTCTTATGGCTGGCATACAACTCACAATCCTAAGGATGATCTTGAACTCTTGATCTTTCTGTCTCCACCTCCCAAGTGTCAAGATTACAGGCACGTGTCACCATGTGCAGTGTTCCTGGAATGTGTCTTGATTATTGTTATCTTAGTCAGTGTGGAATGTGTGGAATGATCTTGACTTTCCTTTTCCCCAATGATGTATCTGTTTCTTATACGTTTATTTGCTTTGAAGAAATGGCTATTCAAAACTCCCCTCCTTCCTGGTGTTTTGAGACAGCGTCTTGCTGTATAGAACTCACTATGTAGATCAGGCTGGCCATGAATTTGAGATAATCCTGCCTCTGTTTCCCAAACCTTTTGAGTTTTGTTGTTTTTGAAATAGAGTCTTGCTCTGTAGGATAAGCCAGCTAGGCTTACCTTGAATTTGCAGCAATCCTCCTGCCTCAGTCTTGAGTCCTAGGATTACAGGTGTGACCCACCATAACTGTCTCTGTGGCCAGTTAAAATGGATTGTCATTTTTGTTGCTGGGTTGTAAGAATTCTTTAAATATTCCGGAATGATGTCCTTATGAGATGTATGACTTGCCAACAGTTTCTCCCATTCTTTTGTAATACAGTCTGTTTGTTTGTTTTGGTTGAGACAGGTTTCTCTGTAGTCCTGACTGTTCTGGAACTCACTCTGTAGACCAGGCTGGCCTTGAACGCAGTGATCCACCCGCCTCTGCCTCCCTAGTACTGGGATCAGAGGCCTGCCCTCCCACTGCCCAGCCTGTAATACATTCTTGTACAATTGTTGTTTTGCAGTGGGGGTTGATACAAACTCCTGTGTAACCCAGGATAGCCTCAAACTTGCAATCCTCCTGTCTTACCCAAAGGGATGAGGGATTATTGGCGTACACTCATGCCCAGCAGAACACATCTGTAATGAAAACAGCTGTCACTTGCCAAAATCCAAGGGACCAAATTTTCAGTTTCCTAATTTCCAGTAAAACAGCCTGACATTCCTATGAATTAAGAAGTTTAGGATCGGAGACTGGAGAGATGGCTCAGCAGTTAAGAGCATTGCCTGCTCTTCCAAAGGTCCGGAGTTCAATTCCCAGCAACCACATGGTGGCTCACAACCACCTATAATGAGGTCTGGTGCCCTCGTCTGGCCTGCAGGCATACACACAGATAAAATATTGTATACATAATAAAAATAAATAAATATTTTTTTTAAAAAAAAGTTTAGGGTCATCTGGGCAGTGGTGGCACACTCATTTAATCCCAGCACTCAGGAGGCAGAGACAGGCAGATCTCTATGAGTTCAAGGCCAGCTTGGTCTACAGAGCGAGTTCCAGGACAGGCTCCAAAACTACAGAAAAATCCTGTCTCGAAAAACCAAAAAGTTGTTTAAGATCCTTGGAACACAGTTTATACCAGTTCCTCACAGTTCTCTGTGTCAACCATACATGGCTTGCAATCCCTAAGGGAAATTTAAATATCTATTGAGATCATTCTGCTGTTTAGGCTTTGGAATAAATACGTTCCCACTGAAATAAAGATGGTATTAGTTACTTCATAAGCAACAGATGTTGGTAAGTACCTGGCATACATTTTTTTTTCCAGTCATAGGGATTGAACTAATTTAATCCAGCGAACTCAGAGATTATTTTTCTATTGTTGTTGCAATTTTAGGGAGAAGAAAACATAATGTTCAGAATTCAGATACTCTAGACCACATCTCATAGCCAGCCAGACAATTAGGAGTAGGTCTGATTACCGTTTATTGTTTCTTTAGTTTCTTAGGTCTTTCGTTAGTATAATTTGATGTTTTGAGATGGGGTCTCTCTGTGTTGCCTGGGCTGGCCCCAAACTCTTGGACTCAAGCAATCCTCCTGCTTCAGCCTCTTGAGTATCTGGAGAAAAAAGCACTTGTTATTTTTTTTCCCTTGGGTTTCTGTCTTGGTCACTGTCACTTAGTTGCTATGACGAGACACCGTGACCATGGCAACTTAGAAAGGAGATCATTTACCTGGGCAGTGGTGGCGCACGCCTTTAATCCCAGCACTCAGAAGGCAGAGGCAGGTGGATCTTTGTGAGTTTGAGGCCAGTGTGGTCTACAGAGTGGATTCTAGGACAGGGCCCAAAGCTAACAGAGAAACCCTGTCTCGACAGACTCCACCGCTGGACAGCCAGCTCCAGCAGCCAGCGCAGTGCACAAGCACTGATGGAAGCAGACACCAGAAGTGGCCTCAGGTGCCAGCTTCCTGCCCGCTGGCAAGGCAAATGGCACATGGTAGACATGAGCTCCAACCTGTACCACTGGGGGCTGCTTGGCCAGCCTACAATCACTCCAAGGCCTGGGAAACCAGAAGAGAGAATTTACCATATTCCTCCCCAGCTGGTCTGGTCTCTTAGAGAACCACTGCCTGGTGGAGCTAGAGGTACTTGGTCCTGTACTGCTACCTTGCAGCTAAGACTGGAGTGCTGTCTTGGAAAAATACTAGAACTTTATACTGAATTCCAGGGAACGAAACACGTTATTTCCTTTATCAAGTGGGGTAAAGTAATTCATTCACATTTTCTAAACTATTATCCAATTAACTTTTTTGAACTTACCTTTACTACAACCTAAAGTCATTGACATATACATTTTAAGTTTACAACCTTGCCATCATCACAAGATAACATTTATTGGATGATAATTTGCACATCAAATGCACACAGTCACAGTTGAGAGACTCCAATCTAGAGCTAAGACCAATGGGAATGTGTTAGAAACAGTAAAGCTGAAAGAAACACAGAAAGCGCATATGGAGAGCATTAACTAGTCACCAAAATAAATAGACATGGGAAAAGTATTTTTAGGTTTCTATAAATGAATTAGGTTGTATCCCCGTTCTCCCTAGACCATTCTTACAGACAAGAATCTCAATTCAAAGAGACAAACACCTGTAGTTAGCCTTAAAGAGATAGATAATAGTCATTTTATATTACATAAATAGTTCTAATATACAAGACTAAAACAGTTAAATATACACCTAATAAACAATTTTCCATTTTAACAAATAGTCAAAGCAAAAGTAGTTTCCTAATGAAATCACTGCAACATTCAAAATAGGTTCTTTTTTTTTTTCATAAAAGCTATACCCTACATCTCCCTTTGAATACATATACAGTAAATCAGATTATTTAAAGCAAAGTATCTTTTCAGATTGTTTGGCATCTTACATTACAGTCACCAGACACTACTACTTAATTTTTTTAAAGAATTTTTTATGATTGACTTAACTTTATGTGCAATGGTGTGAAGGTGTCAGGTCACCCAGGAACTGGATTTACAATCACTTATGAGCTGCCATGTGGGTATTGGGCACTGAACCTGGGTCCTCTGAAGAGCAGTCGGTGCTCTTAACCTCCCAGCCATCTTTCCAGCTACTACTACTTAATTTTCTGGAACTTGAGGCGTCAAAGACAAAAATGTCATTTGTTTTAACTGCCTGAGTTACTAAGCCAGCTCTCTTCAGGGTCGCAGGGCACGTGAACAGATTGTTATTTGTAGCAGCACAGTTCTCGACAAAATGATTCAACACCACAATATAAAGTGCAAACACTGGCATCTAACTTCCACTGGGAAATGCTGCTGTCATCAGTGATGACAGTTTAGCACAACTCGGTATGCACAGATCATACTAAAGATCATATTAAAGATCATATTAAAGATCATACTAAAGAGCTGTCTTAGTCACTTGTACATCATCACAGCAGCAAAACCCACCAAGTTTGAGTTCATTTTTTCCACACTTCAGAGTGTCAACACCCCCCTCCTACACATGTAGTTAGCAGACATTCAGAGTGTCAACAGCCCTCCTACATGTAGTTAGCAGACCATTCAGAGTGTCAACAGCCCTCCTACATGTAGTTAGCAGACCATTCAGAGTGTCAACAGCCCTCCTACATGTAGTTAGCCGACTATTCACAGCAATACACATACATTCCATTTTTATCCCTATATTGACGGTTTCCAATATGTTATTAGCACCTAACATAAGTTATCCTGGGTTAAGAGATTTCTTATGTGATCTATCCTAGTGGGCAATACAGTTAGGACGATGAAAAGGCCATTATCATGAAAGTAGCTGAAATACCATTGCAGCTCTTCCTTCAATTCCTTGGGTGCAGAGCAGCTTGAGAATAACATACAACTAATGTTTTTAGAAACAAGTACACAATAAGGAAGCAACTAACAATGTGCCTATTTCACAGTAACTGTGTTTTCCTTTTCTCTGCATACCAGTCACCAATAATATACCACAGGCCATTTAATTCCTCTCACATATAGTGATGACTTTTATAAAAGTGTCTCTTTTCTAATCTTCCAAGTCTGGAGAATGCAGAAAGCTGCAGACACTGAGAGGTGATGTGAATCCACGTGGAGAGGTGCGGCAGCGCCTCAGCACAGACTCACCTGCTTGTGTTTCCCTAGCAGCAAAGAAAGAGGGTGACAACTTCCATCTTTAGGTCAGCCACATTTGTCTGGGTACCTTCTGACACAATTCTCGTTTGTTCTTTAGTAAGGGCCTCTTTGCCAGTTCCATTCCCCATCCTGTAACTCAAGGTCTTCACTGAAATATTAGAGCCTACACAGCAGCACACCGCTTCCCTGCTGAGAGACAGACAGTGGGAAACCGACACTCTTGTGGCTGTTTCATAACAACCACATCCCAGAGTTAGCTAAGACTTAAGAGAACCTTCTCCGACGAAGGGCTGAAGAGACCAGAAGGCTATTTTAAATGTGAGACCCCCCCAACTTCCTGACAGAATGATGGTTTATATCCTAAATTTGGAGAAACAGCCAGGTCTGGCCTTGACATACAGATCACACAGTCTCAGCTGTGGATAAACTGAAATAGTGATCTCCAGGAAAGGGACGACAGATGAGGCAAGGCTGTTGGTTCCGTTTCCTCACTCAGCAACAGTGATCTTCCCATCTCTAGTAAACACGAAGCGCTTAGCTGTGCAGCTGCATCTTTTTGTACATAAAATCCTCAACCTGCTCTTCTGTAGAAGAGACGAGTCCCAGGTACTACATTTTAGCCACTGACCCTCAAGAGGGCTTTATTTTTGTGCATGAAATTTCCTAGCAGTAATTCCATTTTAGTAAATACCACATTTTTACGGTCTATTTAGACAGAATGAAATCAATCATAAATGCATATCAGCCAAAAGACCATATAGTTTTAATGATAGGTATATAATCAATTTTGTTGTAAAGTGTAGTTCTGTAAGAATGTATACTCACAACATTCTTTGGTTCTTTTAATAACCACACTATATGACAATATTTTGCTCTAATATTTATCTGTGATACTAGTACCTAAAGACATATGTGTTATCAGTTATTTTGGTTAAAAACTCAATAATCCTATTGTATTTTTCTTTGGAAGTGGACAGGAAATGTTACAATTTAATAGTCTCTAGCCACTTCGTGGTGTCATACACCTTCCAGCACTCAGGAGTCAGAGGCAGGCAGATCTCTTGAGTTCGAGGCTAGCCTGGTGAACAGAGGGAGTTCCAGGACAAGCAGGGCTATACACAGAAACCCCGTCTCAAAATGGGGAAAAAAACAAATCTCTGGTTTGATACAGTGACAAGAATTTCAAGCATAAAGCCGTAGAGAGTCTTCTGTTGCTTTTTAAGAGCAACGAAATCTAGTTTTGGATAAGAATACGGACATAATGGGCTTCAGGTAGTAAGTCCCAGGGCAGCCTCCATGCCTGCAGTTCCCCTCCCTCCCCAGCATCCCTGTCTCCTAGTGTTAACCTGTGGCACAAATACCAACAGATAGTGCAGTGTCACAAAATGTGTGGCCTTGGGAGTTAGAAAGCACCTGAATTTCGATGTCAGCCTCACCAGTGTGACGTTTTGTGTGCTTAGCAAAGCATTGACTTTACCTTCTGAAAGCTTCCATTTATTTGTAAAACATGGACAGTCCTTTTCTCTCAGAATCTGTTGAAGATTAAATAAAATAATATATCCATACTATTTAGCATGTTCTCTTCAAAAAGTAGTTCTAATTACTCATAGCCAGCCAGGATGTGCTTCAGTGGAGATCTAGAGGCAAATCCTTTCAGAGAGGAGCAAGTACTCCCACGAAGTTTAACTGCTAGAGAAGTCAGGGCTTGCCCCTGCCATCAGGTCTGAAAATGGGAAATCCACAAATAATGTTATCCAGCTGTTAACTAGCTGCATATGATGGTACATACCAGTAATCCTAGCACTTGGGAGATGTGAACAGGAAAACGATGATTTTTGAGGCCAGCCTGGGCTACACAGCAGGAACCCACACACACACACACTTAAGAAAACAAAAGTGGCCCATTTGGTAACTTTATATGGAGTCCTTAACTAGAAATTCACAGTTCAAACAAAATAGTCCATACAAACATTTCACTGAAATAATTTTAACAAGAAAAGTACAAAAACAAATATAAATACATTCATTTTCCTAGATACTACATGTATAGAACTGGCAAAAAATAAATAAATCTCCTCTTCCTAAAATTCTTAGAAACCAACTTTTTTAAAAAAAAATGTAGAAATAACCTTCATTTTAACAAAAACTGAATTATTCTGGTTTTTGAGACAGGGTTCCACATTTAGTTCTGGCTGTCCTGGAACTATGTAGACCAGACTGGTCTCAGACTCTCAGAGATCCACACCTGCCTCAGCCTCCCAAGTGCTGGGATTAAAGGTGTGTGCCACCACACCCAGCAGTCAAAAGCCAAATTTTAAAGTTTTCTGTTTCTCTGGCTCATATAAATGAAATCTGATCAAGAACTGAGTTCAAATCCTTGCTTCACATGCTATGTATGTAACATTATGTCGCCTCAGTTCTAATCAGAGGTAATAAATAATACTGCCTACGTTACCTGGAATGTGTGTAAAGTGCTTGCTTAGCATAACACTGTACATAAGCGGTTTCCCATCATAAAGACACTGAGAAGCTCACACAGTGGCAAAGCTTGTATTTACTTGGTGTTTCTCCTGTGGGTTCGTTTGTGAGTGATGAGATGCAGATTCACTCGGAAGTTCTTCCCACACACCGTGCATTTGAAGGGTTCTTCTTTGATGTGCTGCTTCTCATGGGATGCAAGTTCTGAATCTAAAGCAAAGGTTTTTCCACATGTCTTACACTTATGAGGTTTTTCCATGTCATGAATGGTTTGATGAGAAACAAGCTCTGAGAAACAAGGAAAGGTCATGTCACAATCAAGACACTGTAAGGGTTTGAATCTGGAGAATGAAAAAAAGTCTTCATCATCAATACTGCAGTTCTTAGAGTCCTCCTTATGATCCTTCTCAGGGAGAGCAGGGTACGAGGGGTGCTCCAAACTCTTCTCACACTGGGTGTGCTGGTATGGGGTGTCTGATGAGCCTGTGTTTTCAGGCAAAGCCAGATTTGTTTCCTGACAGTATGGTTCATCACGTTCAGCACATTCATAAGATTTTTTATCAGTATGACTCTTCTGATGTTCCGCCAATCCTGGGAGCCACATAAAACCTCTCCCACATACATTACATGTATACGGGTTCTCCTTTATATGGCTCTTCATGTGCCGGGACAGGTGTGACTGCTGCCAGAAGCTGGCAGCACACTTGGTACACTTGTAAGGCTTCTCACCAGTGTGGATTCTCTTATGTGTCCTCAGGTTGGCTCTGTGACTGAAGGTCTTCTCACAGGTACTACATTTATACTTTTTCTCTCCTGAATGGATTTTCTGATGCAAAACAAGGTATGTGTTATCACTGAAGCTTTGGTCACAGTCAGGACACTTGTACACATTTGTGGCTTCTTCCCAGGGAACTTCAATAATATCAGAAAGTGTTTTGACTCCTAAACACTGAGATAATTCTACTAATGGGGTTTGGTTTTCAATGGTAACTAAGAGGCTTATAACCTTGGTCTTACAAGTCAAAGTTCCCCCTGACATCTTCCTTTCATGCATTCCAACGTCATGCTCAGATTTTTCAGAGTAGTGGCCATGGGGTGAGGCAATGGAGTACGTTTCTAGAGACAGCTCTTCAAGTTCCATAGACTCTAGGCTTAACTGCTGATTGGTCTCAATCTTGTCTTCCCCTCCTGATGATAAAAGCAAAACAAAGGAAAACATAGACACCACCTTTACATGACACTAGAGAAAGAGCAAGTTAAAGTAATTACTCTGAAGACCAGAAACTGAACACGGATTAGCTAATTACCCAGACACTAATAAATACAAAAAATCAGGAGCCAACAGGCTCTCTTGACTTCCAAAAATCAAAAGTCTGTCCATGTGGGTGGACTGCAAGGTTCCAGGTCAATCTGCAAAGAGAAGGGGCAGAGAATGACTCTAAGGGTCTGGTAAGATGGGTACTGAGGACAGTCTTGGTAGGCGGTGCCTAATGGAGTTTTTTTTTTGTTTATTTAGGTTTTAGGAATTTTTCTTCATCTCAAATGAGTTGAGTAGTCAAAACTACTAGAGATCAGACATATTTATCAGAAAAAAGAAGACAAACTATTTTTCTACTTTAATAAACATCCAAATATTAAAAATAGTTTTATATCCTAGAGGGTCTCTAAAATTTCATCCTTCGTGGAAGAATGATAGTAAAGGTGCTGTGTAGACTTCAGGGAAATATTCTTATCTCAGGGAGGGCTAACAAAACCTAAACCTAGCACAAAGAATTCTTTTTAAATATTTTTCCCAACACAGCCATCACTAAATACCCATAGGTGTACAGCTGCAGATTCAACTAATTGCAAACTGAAGATTTTCTTTATTTCTTTTTAAATCACATCTGGAGGGGCTGGAGAGATGATTTAGTTGTTAAGAGCACTGGCTGCTCTTCCAGAGGCTCTGGGTTCAATTCCCAGCACCCATATGACAGCTCTCAACTGTCTGTAACTTCAGTTCCATGGGATCCAACACCCTCTTCTGATGTCCTCTGGCAATAGGCATGCACACGGTACACAGACATACATGGAAGCAAAATATTCACATACATAAAAATAAATCTTTAAAAAATCAAAACAAAAAATAATCAACATCTAAAACTCCAGTCAAACTTTGCCAGGCATACAAGGAATAGGAATCCTCAACTCATAACAAGGAGAAAAAACAGTCAATAAAAATAGATCCAGAAATGCATATGATTATAATGAGTGTGTCCACATGCCTTTAATTCTAGCACTTGGAGGCAGAGATGGTAGATCTCTGTGCATTCAAGGCCATCATGGACTACATAGGGAGTCCAGGACAGCCAGGGCTACAGAGAGGCCCTGTCTAAAAAAAACAAAAAACAAATAAAATCAGCAAAGAAAGTAACTATTACAAATATACTACATATTTATAAATATACTTATTTATATTATAATACATGTATAACTATAAACATAAATTTATAAAACAAACATTTAAGAGAAAGTGGAGAACAACATGAACATGACAAAAGTGGAAAATGTAAGTCATGAATTATGAAAAATAGTTTAGGTACTCAACCCTCCACAAGACATATTGTCTATTCATGTGTAAGGATGCTGCATATGGTTACCCTTCGGTGAGAAAAGTCAAAACACCCCCTTAAAAGAAAATTTGTTCCCAATTTTTAGCAAATGACAGTAATCTATACCTAATGAAGTTTTTCAAGTAAAGCTGACTTTAAAAATTATTTCAGGGAATTACAAGGTATTGGTACATAGTATATGAAACCATGGTCACCACCGTAGACTGGGTTTCTTTCAAGAAATCATTTAAAGGCTCAGGAGATGGCTCGGCAGATAAAATGTTCACTGTGTAAACTAAGGAGTTTGAACCCCAGCACCAATAAAAGACAGGTAGATGTGGTCCACCTGTTACCGCAGCATTCAGAAAGTGGAGAGGGGATCCCAAGGCAAGCTGGCTAGCGGGACTCAGTAAATAGAGTATTGAGTGACTGAGAAAGAACACTTGACATCCTCTGGCCTCCTCTCTCTCTCTCTCTCTCTCTCTCTCTCTCTCTCTCTCTCACACACACACACACACACACACACACAGGTCCCACTTCACCACCAATGTGGACAAGTCAAAAAATTCTCATCCTAGAACTGATGAGAGTTCCATAATACAGGAAAACTGTTTTACCTGTCGAGTCCAAATCCTCAAAAGGCTCCAACGAGGCTTCTCCGCTGTTGGTCTTCTGGGCAGGCTGCAAACTCACACATTCCTCTTGAGAGAAATACACATCCAGATCTTCAAACAGCAACGGTCCCTAAAACAGGAGACCCCTGTTAGTACAAGAAGCTAGCAGTCAGTTCAAGTGTTAATCTAGGAATGCTGAAAAAAGCCAAACCTTTCACATACCAAAAAGAAAGGGCTTGGTGTAAAATATTCCTAGACGAGGGATTCTACGAGTAGGATTAGGAGGGAAATCATAAACGTAAATTTTCAGACAGTGGTGTGAGGACCAAGACCTCACCGTGAGAATGTAGCTTTTCCCGAAAAAAAACGAGTGAACAATTCTTGGGGAGAGAAAGTGAGGTAACAGTGCGCTGAGAAGAGGGGAAAGAGGAGGGGGAAAAAAAAGACTGGCCAGCCCAGTAAGAAGCCTGAGATGGGTTTCAGGAATTTCCTCCATCCTTTGCAGTCTTGTCTGTCTTCCTCCTCACCGTGATTGCTCAGCCCCTCCCACCGCTTCAAGATCTAGTTCGCTCCTAATTTCTAATCGGCGCGTTGCGGTTATTAAAAAAGCACCTAGACGTTATTATCATTGTTCAACAGGTGTGGAGCCTAGAAATCTGCCACTTGAAGAAGCATTCCCGCAAGACACTTTGAGGACTGTTACACACCCCTTGTCCAGAGCTCTGCTCCCCATCTGGTGATTCTGAAGAGGAAGTCGGTAAGCCTAGGAACGAAGACAGCTTGGTTTGAACGGGCTATCTGAGGCAGCCACGAGTGGGGACCTGTGTGTCTAACCCAGCTCCGAGGAGGCCAGGCAGCTGTAGGAAAATAACGACAGAATTCACCTGGTCATCTGACGTGGGGCGCGTGGACGCCATCTGAGGAAGCTAAGGGGTCCTTCTTCAAGTCCCCACGATGGGACAACAGATCAAGCGGAGAGAACAGTCCCTAGAAACTACGACTCGGCTGCCAGGCCTTTCCACTCTCCCCTCAGGTTCCTCGAAACCCTCAAGCTCCTTTGAGAATCGGAGGTGACGGCTTCTTCCAAAGCAGCCTTGAAACGGACCCGCTCACCCGCTCTGGGGCACAGACAGTTTCACCCTGCCCCGCAGAAGCGGCCCGAAGCCACGCCCAGCCGAGACGCGACAAAGAGGCGGAGGCCACCACAAAACTCCCACGCTCCCACGCTCCCCACGCAGAAGCTGTGGGGAAACCGCCGGAAGCGACGCGCCCCCGGCTCACCATCCTGCATCCTGATTGGTCAGCGTGCTCCCAAGGCGGCGTTCCCTCTTTAATGGACCAATTGAGCAGCTTCCCGAAGACCAGCCTCGCACCGGGAAACTGAGAGACGTTACTTATTCCTGAGCTTCTACAAGCAGCTATTTCCGGTTCCGTCGGCTGGGTCTCCGTGGTGAGTGCCCGGCCTGTTGACGGGCTCAATTGGAGCTGTAGGATGGCGTCCGAGGTACCTGATGATGCCAGAACAGAGGCGGGAACACCCTGGAGTCGGTCACGGAATGTAGCACACAGACGCTGTGGGCCTGAGGTTTTTATCCGAGCGGGTGAGGTGAATGAGAGGCTTCCAGGACTAGCTTGGGCTCGAGCCCTGTGTCTCAGATGGGTTGTGGGGTCACGGTTATTAAGAAGTTGCCTTGTGCAATCGGAAGTTCAGGCCAGGTTACCCCGGTTGCTAGTGTCCGACCCAAAGTATTTTAGGGGCACCGGGCATTGTACCTCACAGACGTATTCAATAGAATGACTGGGACCCTTAGCTGATATCGAGCTGATTTCCATCGTTTTGTACCTCACACTGGACCTGCTTCAAGCAAATGTCTTGTAACCGACATTGAGTAGTGAATTATAGATTCAAAATAAGAAAGTCGCTCTTTCCAGAACTGCCGCTAATTGGATAACTGTATCCAAATGTTTCCTTTATGGTATTCAGGGTGAACCTATGGCTTCACACATCGTAGACAAACACTCCACCGCAGCAGATGTCTCCGGGCCCCACCCTTTCTTTTTAAACTTTAAAAGAGGTTGATTCAGGCTCACCTCGAATTCACCGTATGGCCCCAGCAGGCCCTGTATTGAGGATCGTCTTGCCTCAGTAACCCTTTTGTGGGCACCCACCCAGACTGGACAGCTTTTAACTTTGCTCTCCTCCACTGCAGAGTTCATGGTGCTTCTCGTTGGTAATTTAAAATATAAAATTTTTTAAAAATTGCCAGTTTCTGAAGGTGTTTTGGGGAGGAGAGCAACAACAAGATTAGTACCTTGAAAATTCTGAATAAATCCCAATTCTCTCTCACTTTATCTCTTTAGAGATAGGGTCTTACTCTATGACCTTGTCTGCTCTAAAACTTCTGAAATTTGTTAACCAGGCTGGCCTCCAACATAGAGAGCGACCTGCCTCTGCTCCCCAAACTTCTGGGAGTAAGGAGAGCACCACCATGCCCAGCACCAACATCATTTTTTTTTTTTTTGAGACAGGGTTTCTCTGTGTAATAGCTCAGGCTGGCCTCAAAAATCACAGAGCTCTGCCTGCCTCTGTCTCCTGATTGCTAGGATTAAAGGTGTGCGCCACCACTGCCCAGCAGCCAACATAATTCATTTAGCATCCTGATAACAACAGTGGAATACAGATGATACATGCTAAGTTTTATTGTCTCGTGTGTCCATCCCACATTTATCAAGAATGAAGACTCACTAGGGCTTGGCCTCTCTGCTTCAGTGCAGTGCTCTGGGAGAAGAAAAAATGGAAGTAGAAACCCCTACACATCACCAATAGTTATTAAAGGGCCATCTACTGATAACTAAGTGTCTGGAAATGGATCACTAGAGAGGCTACATAAAGGGCCCCAGGATAAAAGAGAAAAATGCTTCAATGGCAGGCAAAAGAATAAGAACAAATTTCCCTACAGACCATTTCAAAACACAACAATACATTGAGGAAGTATGTAGAGTCCTAAAGCAAAGGGATGTCTTGATGCAATTCATGGCCATCTTTCTCCTCTTGTTTTGTGCTTGACATTTTTTTTTTCATAAATGTCTCACTTGGGCTAAGAAGAATCTCTTGATACAGAGCTATGGTCCTTTATTGAATCCTGTATCGATTATTACAAAGATATAAGCAAATTCCAATAACCAGAAAGTAATAACTTAGTCTCTAACCAGAGAAAAGGTCAGCCCTAAATTGGGTGAGTCAAAATTGTCCTCAGCCCACTTGGGCAGTGGTGGCGCACACCTTTAATCCCAGCACTCCAGAGGCAGAGGCAGGTGGATCTCTGTGAGTTCAAGGCCAGCCTGTTCTACAGAGCAAGTTCCAAGACAGCCAAAGCTACACAGAGAAACCCTGCCTTGAAGAGCCAAAAAAATTTTTCCTCAGCCCTTGTGTTAAGTGCCAGGCCAAATAAGTGGAGCAAAAAGCATGAAACATGCAAACTTGGAACTTGCTTAAAGAGATGAGACAGAAGAAAGTCTGTGGTGAGCAGAGATGGGAACCAGTAGTGTACTTGCCTACTATGGTGTGGTCCCCAGCTCCACACCTCAGGTGTGGTGATGCACGTGCCCTCTACTAACTGGTACCTTACAAACTGAGTGGGGCAGAATACCAGGAGTTCAAGGTCATCCTCAGTTCCATGAGATCTTTCTCAAACAAATAAACATGTCTTCTTGATACTTTTGACTATTACCTGACATCTGGAGTACTATTTACTATTTATTGCTTGTCTTGCTATTTTCCTACCACCATTTTTTGCCTCATTTGTATCAATTGAATATATGAATAATTTTCTCCTTTCCACATTATGAAGTATGTTTCTTTCAAAAATTTTTTTCTGGCTACCTAATATATGCAGTTAAAAATGAATCCAAATCTACTTCCCCTAACAGTATATTTCTCTTGAGATGCCCAATACATTGTAATAGCAAAACACTCCCATTCTGCTGAATTTTTATTATAAATGGATGTTGAATTTTTGCCTAATAATATATGATTTGTTTATTAATGTATTAAGTAACTGTGCCATAGAATGTTAACCCAACCTTATAATTCCTGAAACAAATTTAAAAAACTTAAACATCCTTCCATGTAAATATATGTGCATAGCCACTCAGACACACACAAAATCTAAAAAAGTCCATTTGCAAGATTTTCCATTTTGATCTTTAATGGTAATATCAATGGCAATAGTAAAATCTATATGAATGGAAGTTTTCTCTCTAGCCCAGTGTCTTCTTTCTGAAGATCTCAATATATAAAGATCACATCTTATTTAATCAAAAGTATTGTCTGGCATGGTGTCACAGTCTTTTAATCCCAGCAGTCAGGAGGCAGAGACAGGCAGATCTCTGTGAGTTCCAGGCCAGCCAGTGCTGCATACTGAAACCCATCAAAAAAGAAAGACTGGTATGGTGCTGTATGTCCTATAACCCCTGCACTCAGAAGTTTGAGGCCGCAGGATGAGCTTGAGGCAAACTGGAGAGCTATAGCAAGAGCCAATCTCTTTCTCACACACATAGAAATAAAAACTTTTTTTCAATTATAAAAGTAGACCATGTTACTTTTTAAATTGTTATTACTGAAAGATAGATGGGATTTTTAAAGACTTGGTTGGAGGTTAATGAGTATATCCTTCATTAAATAAAAGTTATTTGAATATTCCAGTTACTCTAAGGAAATAAACAAGTATTTAGTATTTCATCATCTCTTGTCCAGTTGTCAGGCCTAGTCTCAATGTTAGTGGAGGACCAGAGCCTCCAAGGTACATAACATTCTGACACCAGACACTGCAGTTACCTGGTCAACGTCTCCCACCTTTGGTCCTCACTATAAGTGGTATTATCCATGATGATCCATCTTGTATGAATATTTTTGTCTGCACCTATGTCTGTATTCCACATGAGTGCCTGGTGCCTGCAGCGGTCAAAAGAAGGTGTCGGAGCCCCTGGAACTGGAGCTACAGGCAGTTGTTAACTACTGGGAGGGTGTTGGAAGATGAGCCTGGGTCCTCTAGAAGAATAGCAAGTTTTCTAAACTGCTGTGCCATCTCTCTAGTCCTATTTGTGTTATTTCATAACAGAAAACTTTCTTTGGATTTTGGAAGTAAAATATATTGACTCCTGTTTTTCCAGGATTGGATATATTTTTCTTTTAATAAATGTATATTGTGTGTGTGTGTGTGTGTGTGTGTGTGCATGTGTGCATGAATGCATACCCGTGGAAACCAGAGAATAATTTTCAAGTGTCAGCCAGGCCATGGTGGTGTGTTCCTTTATTTCCAGCACTCAGGAGGCAGGTGGGGGGGGAGCTCAAGGTCAACCTGGTCTTCAGTTCCAGGACAGCCAAGGCTACACAGAGAAACCCTGTCTCAAAAAACAAAACAAACAAAAATTTTGAGTGTCACCTTTAAGACCACTGTCTACCTCCTTTGAGATGGTCTTTTTTTTTTTTTTTTTTTTTTTTTTTTTTTGCTGGAGCTCATCATTTAGGCTAGACTGACTAGTCAGGAGTGCCCAGGGATTCTGCTGTCTTTATCTCACTAGTACTGGGATTACAAGCACCCAGCATTTCCATGTGGATTCAAGGACTGAACTTAGGTTGTCCTGCTTACAAATGCTTTACTGCTTGAGCTGTTTTCCCAGCCCTCTGCTGGTTTTGATCCATGTGGATAATAATAAATCTTTTAGAAATACAAGCCTGGATAATCTGCTCTACCTCATGGTAGTCATGTGGACTATTCTTCTCTCCTGAGTACTTCCAAGGCATGCAGTGGCATTTCAATTGTATTTTAATAAATAAAGACTTCCTGAAGATCTGAGAGTAAAACAGTCCCACTGCTTAGCCTTACAGACCAGATTGTGGTAACCCACACCTTTAATCTCAGTAGCCATTATGACACGCACCTTTAATCCCAGTAGCCACACTAGTTGCCACAGAAACTGGGCGGTGCATGCCTTTAATGACAGTGTTGCACGCCCTGAATCCCAGCCCTAAAGAGGATTATAAAATGGGAGGAAACAGCTCTTAGACAGTCTCCTTCTGAAATTCCAGGAGGCAGGATCGCCATTTCAGATTGAG